CCCCCCCCCCCCCCGCAGCGTCCAGGAACTCTGGCGCGGTAGTGTTGCCTCTGTTGGGAAGGCCAAGCGAGCCCCGCCAGGTCGCCATCTTCTTCGTGCGCTTCCCTTGAGTTTAGAGGCCACCGAGTAACGCCGTCCCTACTCGGACTCCCGTGACGGTGTGCCCTTGCCCCCTCAGCACCCTGAGGGCCCTTTCCCCGATGTCTTGTTCCAGCTGCTCGTTGAGGGCGGCGATGGGGATATCCTGTAGGGGTGGGCGCTCGTCTCGCCGCTCTTCTTCGCTGTGCCCTTCAGCCGGCCCAGCGCCCGCTCCTTGTTCACAGGCCACGCGCCCGCTCCAGCGAATGATGATATATGATTTATTTATTTTCGGTGTAGCGCTCAATTTCTAAGCATCCGCGATCACGCCAGGCATGTCGCGTTTCAGCGGCAACAACCCGCCGGAGTTGTGGTAAAAGGACTCCAAAGCTCTGGTCACCGATTTCTTGNTCGCTGTGCCCTTCAGCCGGCCCAGCGCCCGCTCCTTGTTCACAGGCCACGCGCCCGCTCCAGCGAATGATGATATATGATTTATTTATTTTCGGTGTAGCGCTCAATTTCTAAGCATCCGCGATCACGCCAGGCATGTCGCGTTTCAGCGGCAACAACCCGCCGGAGTTGTGGTAAAAGGACTCCAAAGCTCTGGTCACCGATTTCTTGAAGCGTCCGAAGGTGACGACATCCAAGGGCTGGGTGATGTGCGACGTGTGGGAGGGTAGGGGCCCCTGGGAGGGTAGGGGCCCCTACCCTCCCAGGGGCCCCTACCCTCCCACACGTCGCACATCACCCAGCCCTTGGATGTCGTCACCTTCGGACGCTTCAAGAAATCGGTGACCAGAGCTTTGGAGTCCTTCTACCACAACTCCGGCGGGCCCTACCCTCCCACACGTCGCACATCACCCAGCCCTTGGATGTCGTCACCTTCGGACACTTTAAGAAATCGGTGACCAGAGCTTTGGAGTCCTTCTACCACAACTCCGGCGGGTTGTTGCCGCTGAAACGCGACATGCCTGGCGTGATCGCGGATGCTTAGAAATTGAGCGCTACACCGGAGATAAATAAATCATATATCATCATTCGCTGGAGCGGGCGCTGGGCCGGCTGAAGGGCACAGCGAAGACGAGCGGCCCACCCCTTCAGGCCTTCCAAAAGTTGTGTCGTGGGGATGAATGAATATTCCTCAATGGTGGATACAGTTTGGCGGTGTTCGGCGTGAATTCTTACCGTTAGCGGCATATGCTAAATCAGGAAAAGTGCCCATATTTGACCAAGCACCATTTTACGTAGACAACTCATTTCGCCATGATTTTTTTTTTCTCGAATCGTCTACTGACTGGAATTTGTGCATCCAATTGGTTGTTCTGCCTCGTTTTGAACGCATAGAGCACGCAATATAGGTCACCGAGGGAAAAAACCATCCCTACCCATGGTGTCGAAAACCCGGGGATACGTCATTTTCATTCCCGGATGTCGATCATTTTTTTGTTTCTTGCGTTTTCATTCCTGTTGTATTTTACGCATGCCCACCAATTCTTGGGTCTTGAAACGCTTCCAAGCGAACGAAATCAACCAATGATGACAGTGGCCTTTTGTACCCCCAGGGGTAATTTTTTCTCAAAATGGCGCCTGCAGCTCAGGTCTACGGCTCCAGCCCTACCTCGTCACTGTTGACGATTTTTTTCTCTTTTTTTAGGTAGGCGGGGGGTGATCTTGCCTATCGCGCTCGATACCACATCATAATCGAAATTCGATTTCCTGCTCAAGAACGAGCTCTTTGCACAGGGGGTGGCTGAAGTGGCCTTTAATACCCGCCTTTAGAGAAGGTGCACAATGTACCAATTGCAATGTACGACATATTCGAGCTGGGAGACGAACGCGTGGTTTACACAGGCCGCGGCATCGCTCCCTCGCCTTTCAGCGCGCTCAGAGAGTTTTGTTTTTTCTTCTCCCCTCAGTCTATCCCACCTCGAGTGTTGATGGCTGGGTCAGGAACATGGAATCAATCCCTCTCCTTTCATGAGGCACAAGCGCGGCGAAAAGCTCAAGATTAAACAAACAGATTTGCAAGCGTCGAGGAAGCTGTCGGGTTCGTCCTGACGCGGCTCCGCACCGCACTGGCTCTATATTCCCATCCCTTGGCGATGCTTCCTCGCACTCAGCTCTTTTGTTCATGTTCCTGTTTCGGGAGGTGACGAAGAACCTTCGCGGGTTTGGCCATTACGCTTTGGGGAATGACCATAGGGCACACATATTTCTTGCGCATGCACGCGCTTTTTTCAGAGTGAGGTTGGTAGATTTTAGCGAAGTCAACGCGTTACCCACTTGCTTTCGAGCAGGAACGACGAAGTTCAAAAGTACAAATGCCGCCGTCCAGGGATGTTCGGTGGCTGATAACCATTTCGACGGAAAAAGTGCGTGTGTTGAAATAAACGTTATTGGCAAAACGATGTCAAGACGGCCAAGCCAAAATACACGGCACGATGCGGTTCATGTTCACGTCGTTCCCGTAAAGCGACAACCTCTCCGACTGGCTATCTCCGACCTACGACATCCAGTCACGTAAAACTCGCAGCACGCGCCGGAGTTTGAGCCGCCTTTGTTGACCCTCGTTTTCCGTTGTACAGATCGGTTCCAAGTTTTGGGAGGTGATCTCCGACGAGCACGGCATCGACCCCACTGGTGTCTACCACGGCGACTCTGACCTCCAGCTCGAGCGCATCAACTGCTACTTCAATGAGGCCTCCGGCGGCCGCTACGTGCCCCGCGCCATCCTCATGGACCTCGAGCCCGGAACCATGGACTCGGTGCGCTCGGGGCCCTTCGGGCAGCTGTTCAGGCCCGACAACTTCGTGTTCGGGCAGACCGGCGCGGGCAACAACTGGGCCAAGGGCCACTACACCGAGGGCGCGGAGCTGATCGACTCGGTGCTTGACGTGGTGCGAAAGGAGGCGGAGTCTTGCGACTCGCTCCAGGGCTTCCAGCTGACCCACTCCATGGGAGGCGGTACCGGAGCGGGTATGGGAACCCTGCTCATCTCCAAGGTGCGGCGGTGGGGGTACCATTCCCTGGTGTCTGTTGCAGATTGGCTCGGTGGTCGTGTCGATCCCAAGTTAGGGAGGACATGTGTCTTCGTTAAAGTGCCTTTCCTGGAGTTCAAGGAGAGACGACGCTTCAATCATCAGTTTTGTGGTCGAGCCGATTATTTGCTGCGTGTAGTGCTGAGTTGCGCCTTGTCATCAATGTTTTCCGTTTTTGTTCCCGAGTTTCACCGTGTCACCGTTTCACCGTGTGTATTGGGTACCCGAATGTTACAGCTTGTCATGGCCTCGTGTCCCGTGATGTCACTGATACTTTTACCTACCGAAGGAGTGACAGCACATGTTTCTTCTTTGGTGGCGCCTACCGAATGACGCTCGAAAATTTGGCGGCGAAGAGTGACAGCAGCCCTTAAAGGTCGTGCTTTCTCTCCACCACGTTGCCAACACCCTTGTGTGTGCGCTCATTTTGCCAAGAAAGATCCAACCCAAATCTGAACTTGTGTTGGTCCAAAATTCAGGTTCGCGAGGAGTACCCGGACAGGATCATGTCCACCTACTCGGTCATCCCCTCCCCCAAGGTGTCCGACACCGTCGTCGAGCCCTACAACGCCACCCTCTCCGTGCACCAGCTGGTCGAGAACGCCGACCAGTGCTTCACCCTCGACAACGAGGCCCTCTACGACATCTGCTTCCGCACCCTCAAGCTCACCACGCCCACCTACGGTGACCTGAACCACCTTGTGTCTGCCGCCATCTGCGGCACCACGTGCTCCCTGCGATTCCCCGGGCAGCTGAACTGCGACCTTCGCAAGCTCGCGGTCAACATGGTGCCGTTCCCCCGGCTCCACTTCTTCATGATCGGGTTCGCGCCGCTGACCTCTCGCAACTCCCAGCAGTACCGCGCGCTGTCGGTGCCAGAGCTGACCCAGCAGTGCTTTGATTCGAAGAACATGATGTGCGCCGCCGACCCCCGGCACGGCCGATACCTGACTTGCGCCGTAATGTTCCGTGGCCGTATGTCTACCAAGGAGGTGGACGAGCAGGTGAAAAGGACTTAGACACGCATGGTTCTAGAAGGGTACAAAGTTTTTTGGGGGAGAGGACGTGTCGTCCCATTTTTTTTCAGTACACGGAGTGAGACGCAACAAGGTGGGATGTTGTACACTGGCCACGCCCTTGCGTTGAAGGCTTTCCGGTGGTTTGATCGAACTAATTTGAACGCATGGCATTTCGTCCGTTGAACCATGCATACAAAAGCAAACCGACATGGTGTCGATTGTATTCTTGTACGGTTGTCGGCCTTGTCTCGTCTTCGCTTCGTCGCTGTGGTTTCAGATGCTCGCCGTGGTGAACAAGAACTCGTCCTACTTCGTGGAGTGGATCCCCAACAACGTCAAGGCCTCCATCTGCGACGTCCCCCCCAAGGGGCTCAAGATGTCCACCACTTTCGTGGGCAACACCACCGCCATCCAGGAGGTGTGGAAGCGCGTGGCCGAACAGTTCACGGCCATGTTCCGCAGAAAGGCCTTCCTCCACTGGTGAGTTTGCGGTGACTACAATTGTGTCTTGTTGGTTGTGAGATGGACTGCAACGAGCGCCCGTTTTTGTGTCCCTCAAGACTTCACTTGATTTGATAGTATGTTTTGCCCAAAAGTATTTCTACAGGGTTAGATGTTGTGTGTTGTGCGTGTGGTTGCCATGAGGCGGTTTGGGTTATATAGCGGACATGTGAGACGATGCGGCGTTGTTTTGCACTTGCTTGGCTCGCATGTAGCAGACTTGCCACGTTGTCGGTCGCGTTCACCGCCCTTGGTGTGGTGTTGTCCGTTGTTGTTGGCGCAAGCATATTCGCTTGTTCGGTGTTTTCCCACGATGCTCGTGATCAAAGCACCGGACCCTTAACTTCCTACTGCCCGCGGCGATCATGTTTTTGTCCCTGTTGCGTGCTTGCCTCTGGCAACAGGTACACCGGCGAGGGCATGGACGAGATGGAGTTCACGGAGGCCGAGTCGAACATGAACGACCTTGTGTCGGAGTACCAGCAGTACCAGGACGCCACGATCGAAGACGAAGGGGAGTACGACGAGGACGAAGAGCTCGACGACCAGATGATGTAAAACGGCCAAGCCATTCTCATTTTCTGACACAAGCATACAACGGACGGTGACAACAACAAGAAAATGGGCCGTTTTTCCTTGTAGCCGGAAACTGCCGAGGTGCTTATTTTGTCGGCTCCCCTACTCAGGGGTGGGATGATGTTCGGTAGCACTTTTTGTATATTTACTGAAAGTTGTTGAAAGTTCCAATAGCTTTTGGAGGGACGAAGGTTGGTGGGACGCCGTTCGAGGCATTTACCGTAATGGCCAACAGAGAAGTGTTTTTTTTTCGTGGTTCCCCCGTGTGTGCTGTCCCGTCCTTGCATGGTATTTCTCTTGCGGTTGCTTGCGAAAGCGTATAGATTTAGGACCGGCCCCGGTGTTGTCTGCGTGCTCCCAAGAGACCGGTGTGGGCGTGTAGCGGTTGGTATCCTGGTGCTGGTTGTGTCCATGTTCATGTTAGCCTTACCTGTTTGTATTTGAAAGACGTTCTTTTTTCCCGAAGACAGTGTTGGTTGTATTATGGTTGCTGCTGAGGGTCCCCTTTTTCGCTTTGCCATTTCGTTTGTCAGTTGCTTTGGGAGGTTTTCGTTTTCGGTGTTTTTTTATCAATATAAATAAATGTATGTGGGGAGAGGCACATGCTGGGGATAAGCATGCTTGGTGTTTTGGGGGTCTTGGCGATCCAGAAACAGGTTTGCTAGGCCTAGATTGAAGAGCTTGAGGAGGTCCTTTCGTAATACGTGTGGGGATAACGAGCGAAGAGGCGGTTTGTTTTTGGCAACGACACTCGTGGCGTCTCTTGGCGGAGACCAAGATTGAAACCGGTTGAAGGTAGAGATGACGAGAGTGAGCAGCATCCATCGTGAAATTTGCGCCGCATGTTGCGGGTTCCGAGACAAATGACTCCTTTTTTTTTCTCGGATTTGCCTGTGACAAGAGTTGGCTGCAGTCCCGGTGACGGAAAACGCCATCATGGTTTGTGTCCTGTTTTTTGTTGCCCATCAAGACGTCCCGTGTTGAAGTTGACGGATCAGTTATTTCCGCTAGAAAATGCAGTTCTTAGGAGGGTTTCCCACTGAGAAAATAGCCTTGCGAGTGTGCGCCCCTTTTTTGTTATTGCCATGTTGTTGTCCATCCTCCGTTTGTGTTCTATTACGATAAGAAGAGAGCGTTGATGTAGTACCGAAAGACGTCGTTTCAGGCGCACAAATCTTCGGTTGAGAGTTGAGAGCGTTAATATGCTGTAGTTGCCGTAATGATGAGTATTATGCTTCGGTGGCAAGGCTCGTAACTTGATTCCCGTGGTTTGTAAAGGTAGAGCTAAGCTAGTCTGCGAATTCCCCGCAGGCTATAGAGCATGAAGAGTTGGTGCTACGACGTTTGGTAATTGAATCAATTTGAAAATCTCCATCAGCAAACTCTTTAGCACGTCGGTATCGCTTTTGCCGAGCGAGAAGCTATGGCCCTTTGCGAGACTACGTTTCTCGGAGCGGGTTTTTCACAAAGGGTAGTGTTCTTTGTCCCGTGTCAACCAGCGATTTCGATTGTTCCGTCGGATAGATCACGCAAAACTGGAGCCTTGGACGACAACGCGCCGTCAGAAAAACAAAAACGAGGCCTCCGCGGATACTAGACTATCCATACAAAATGACGAACTTGCACCTGGCGATTTCGCAAAATACGTTTGTTTTGGTACATGTAAAAAAAAAGTAAAAATTCACCTACATAACGTGTGGAGAGTGCGTGAAGCCGTCGGTGATACCGTACGTGTGCTCACGCCCATCAAAGCTCAAACAAGCAAGAGCCGATGTATCATACCAAGAAGCACTACCGTATCACCATTTGATGCCCACAATGAAATCTCTTCGATCTAACATACGTTCCTGCAACACGTATGTACAAGAAGAGTTGGTTCATACTTTCCACCCCTCGTAATTTTGGTAAGGAACACCACGCGTCAACTGTTTTCATCTTTCACTTACAGGAGAGCGCGACGCCAGAAGAGCTTCCCTGTGAAACCCAGTATAACCCAAGCTCGTCAAACACTCGCTCTCCCGAACGGGCAGCTTGGTTGGGCAGATACTACATACAGTAGATACATTCCAACTTCCCAACAGACGGGGTTACATGTGTGCACACGAATGTGTGCGCAGAAATCGTGTGGGAGTGGAGTTGTTGGTGTGGCTGTGCACGCATGGTATCCAAGTGCACACACGTAGGTCGTATGTGAGATTCGTACCGCGCGCCGCGGGACCGCGGAATAAACGCGACCGACTGCATCGCGGTGTTGATGTTTTAACCACGAATGATGTGATGAAGTATTGTAACTTAAACCGTTTCTTCAAAAAACGTTTGTTTGCGTACTTATGGCACACTTCTCACCGAGAAGGGGTTTCAACTGTTCAATCGAAAACACCGCGCCGCGAACACCAGTCGGGGTTCACCTTCCCATTTACCACACGAGGCTTGTACAACAGCAGGAATACCATAGACGTTTTCCCTCTCACGGATATCTACCAAGCTTGAAACCTCGCTGCAGATAACCATGTGCCCCCTCGGCATGTTTGCCGATCTAGGCGGCATGGACGGGCAACCAACCGCACCGGCATCTCCAACCTCCAACTACCCTGCCAACGAAACGCGGACCAAATGAGAACGTAACACCACACACAACATTCAGCCTCCGCATTTCCGCCTGGACTCTCGGCCTTCATCCGACGCTTTCCGTCTTGGCCCCGCCCTTGTCGATTGCTTTTTCCTTCCACCGGTGAGTTGCCAGGGTTGAGTTGTGTCTCACGCTCGGCCTTAATGACGTACAATCCCAGGGGGGCTAGGATCAATCCCAACACATACATCGACGGGATACCGCAGGTTGTAGCCCGCCGCCGGTGTCGCACGCGAGCTGTTAGTGCCTGACGTCACCGAGTCGACATGGGTCGGGAGCGACCCAAAAGGTCAGCGTCACATGGACAGGACCACCTTCAGGGTGTTTCAATCATGCGCTGTTGTTGGGGCAATACGGTGAGGGTGGTACCTTTATATCGATCCTGATGATTGTAGGTGATTTTCATACGGGCCGACACTGGCCCGCCACACCTTCACATACACGAACGATGCTGCTTCTTAACCCTTCGGGGTCTACAGGCGTCCTGACAGATCATTGATTGGTCATTTGCAAATGATGGTGCTGTGGCACGCCATGGAATTGCCGCCCTGTCTCCCTCCACGCCAGGTGTTGGCAAGTCCATAGCTGGGTGTGTCCTTGTTATTCCCATCGACCGCGCTACCCGGTGGCCAATGAAAAGACGTTAGTGCCAGCGGGTAACATCAAGGTCCCTGGAACGGCAAAATTCCAAAAATGCACACTGCTCTAAATGCGAATGCCACCACGAATCTCCCGCCATATCCTTTCACAGAGACACACATCAAAAACTCTACATACATGCCCTCGCCCGAATCTAGGAAGCCACTTAAGCAAGACATGACAGCGAAAAGGGGTATTTCAAGCCCAACCAGGGCAAGGTTTCGTGGTAGGCTCCACATCCTCCAAATTTGAAAATCGTGAGCTCCCAACATCAAGCAGTCATCGTGTCGGCAGCTGTACTACACAGCAGCAGCAGCATAGACGAGTCCAACATACAGTAGTAACACATCCACAATTATCATGGCCTCACACATACCCTCGCCCGAACCAAAAGAGCCACTGATGCAAAGGTATGGGTGTGCTGGTGTGGGCTTGCCTGCTTGTGGGAATTTTGGGAAAATCACAGGAGCTGTAGTGAGCCGGCAGGGCTCACATTGGGGAGGGGACAGAGAAGTACACTAGTACAGAAACCAGATATGGGTCTACAAGGCCGCTCACTGATCATTTTCAATGATCATTTGAACATACCAACAACAGAGTAGTTTCAACAGAGTAATTTCGGCGGCTTGGCGACTGATCTTTTCGAGGTCTGCAAACCTAACCTGCCCTGCCGGCCGCAACGCGACCATGCATCAACCCTCCTCCTATGACCCTGTCTGTGCCCACCGTCCTGTCGCGGGCTGCCCTCGACCCATGGGTGGAGATAGCAGTTGCGTCTACAGGAGTACACTCTGTCTCTTTCTGCTCTACTTCTGTCTCTCTCTCCCGTACGCTCTCTTCCTAGACCCAACAAAAGGTTAATAGAGCGGTTAATCTGAGTGGCGCTTGATATTTCAGCTTCTTTCACTTTTCTTGGTCCAACGCCGCCATTCAAGATTCGAGATGCCGCATTTAGACCCAAGGGCAACAACATGAACGAAGATCGACAGATGGAAAGCATGAGAGAGATGCACGAAGCGTATCTCCACCTGTACTGCTGTGCAACAAACAGAACGTGTTAATGTTGCTGTCTTCACACAAAAAAAACGTTCCGGTATCTTATCAGTACCATGATGCATCCCCACCGGTCCTACTCACGCCGATGGACGTCTGCCTTCGTCACAGGCCAACTATCCCAAACGGGTTCAGATTTTTTCGATGATTAAATCAAAGCCAACCACACAGGCCCAGAAACATCATCGCCGACACGATAAGTGATATTGCAGTAGAGCACAAGCGAAAGGAGGACTGGTGGGAAAAAAGAAAGGGCAATAGAAACAGCACAGATGCCAACTGCAACGAACGCACGTACCTGCGGCTGTCACAGAAAGCAAACGATCGTCCGGAACACTTCCTCCGATTCCAGACCCACAAGAGCCGGGACCAAGCCTCCTTCCCCAGCCGCCGCCCCTCTCGTCGCCCTGCCGTCACGACCCCTTTCGCCATCCGTAGGCCCACTACCCTCGCCTACTGCGCCGGCGTCTGTTTTCCCCACTTTACTGTTGTCACCGTCCGCCTCTTCGTGACGCGGCAGATTTCGTCCGGTCGCTGCCTCTGTCCGATCGCTGCCGCTGCCACTGGAGGGCGCTCCCCTCCCCCTCTCAGCCCTCGCGCGAAGCATCACCAGCCAGCAACGGCGCCGCCAAGTCCTGTCCGCCGGAGCACGCGCCAGCAGCACTCGTGCACGCTGTATCTCTTTTGTCAACGAGTCATGGCGCGTTGCACTGCCGCCAACACAACGTGTGGCGCTACCATCACCACCGGCGTCGCGTGCATGGTATTCAGCGGTCGTCACTTTAAGGATGTCGGAGGGTGTTAGACCGTTCTTGTTGACTGCGGTTTCCGACGCCCCCCACCTCAACAGGAGGTCCACCATTCTGTCCATACCTCGCGACAGACTTCCACATGTCAAATGCAACGCGGACAAACCACCGCAGTTCGTGTCGTTGACGTTGCCCCCCCGCTTCAAAAGGGCAACCACGGCTTCGCAACTATTGTCCATGACGCACACGGAGAGAGGTGTAAACCCATGCAATGCAGGACACGCTTTGGCGTTCACGTCGGCCCCGGCATCGAGAAGCACGTCTACCGCCTGTGCCCCGCGGGCGTGGTGTAGAGCAGTCAAGCCGTAGGTGTCGGTAGCTCTCACGTTTCCACCGTTCTCAACTATAGCTTCGATCACCCCGACGTGTCCTTTTGATACCGCTACATCCATTGCCGTCATGCCAAGATGGGCTCCTCCAGCATGACGTAGGTTCATGTCGGCACCAGCCCGCAGGAGAGCCTCGACCGTAGAACAGTGGCCTCCTTCAGACGCCACCATAAGTGGGGAAACCCCCCTGCTGTCGAGCGCGTCGACATCGGTCATGGCGTTGCCGAGCAGGGTGGACACAACACGATTGTTGCCGCTTGCAGCAGCAAGGTGTAGCGGGGTACGGCCCGACATGGTGCGAGAATTGGGACAAGCCCCGCCGATCAGTAACAAGTCTACCAAGTCACCGTGTCTCCCTTCGACGGCGACATGCAACGAGACGCATGCATCCCCTGGGTCGACCCTGTTAACGTCGGCTCCGGCAATGATCAGCTTCTTCGCCGCCGCTTCGTGGCCGCACACAGAGGCCACGTGCAGGGCGGACCTCCTCGACGACAGCGACACCACGTTCACATCCGAAGCACAGCCCGATGCAAGCAATGTCGCCACCACGTCCGGGTTTCCACCTAGTGCAGCGGCGTCGAGCATTGTCCGCCCGCGGCACCCTCTCCACCCTGCCCCACCGTTGGCCCCGGCGTTGAGCAGTCTCTCGACGAGGCCAAGATTGCCGCGGGCCGCGGCGTGCTCGAGCGGAGCCCGGAGCCACTCCGCCCATTGCTCTGGAGTGGCGCCGAAGTAGAGGAGTTTGAAGATCTCCAGCTCCGCCCCTTCGAGGAGAGCCCGCTTCGGGTACAGGTGCATGATGACGAGGACGAATTTCAAATGTTTGAAGTGTGTGTGCTGGTGGTTATCTCCCGGGTGAAGCAAGAGATTGGCCCTTTTTTACTTCCACTCGTGGACTTCGTTGTTGTGGTCAACTCGACGGGTCACAGAGAAAGAAAAGCTGCAGGGCTTCGGCTCTTTATATCGCTTTTCTCTCTCGGTCTGGGTGTCAACGACACGGCCGTGTGTCTTGGGCTGTGTATTGCCTGCGCTATGTGCGATGCATACCAGCGTGTCGTGCACAGACCTTTTAGCAGCCTGAGGGGTTCCGTAGTTGCATGGTACCGAACTGCATGGTAGTTGAGGAAGTTCCCCCGCAACATACGTTATAATCACAAACAGAATCATGTAGCTCGCCCGGTCAAATACGCCGGCTGAAACACAGCATTTGGCATTTCCATCTTCTCAGCAACCAACTGCACTGAACTGTTACTGTTGTAGAGTGTAGACCAACGTATCGGGCGCAACAGCAGCATTGTCTGCTCTTGTCTTCTCCACAAACATTTTCCGCGAACGTTCACTCTGGGGAATGTACTGCTGTAAATATCACTACATCAGAGCAGTATTTAGTGCACAGGATGACGCTGCCGAACGGACTCATGAGAGCACAACAGCAGCAGCGTCATCAAGGGATGATGCAGGACGAAAATACAGCAGGCAGCAGGAAGGACTAGTCCATTGCTAGCTGCCAGCTGCTAGTTTAATGGCGTTTCCTCACGTCAGCCATGTTTCTACATACAGCAGCACAGCAGCACCGTTGTGATTGACTCGATCGAAGAGCCCCGCGAACCGGTGCCACCGAACCCCCACGAACAAAAAACATATACAGGTAGCCTTTCGCTCACGCTATGGTTCCATTGCTAATCTATCTTAGCTTTATTTCTATAGAGATGGATTTGTTGTGTGATTTTAAGAAAATATAAAAACAACCTTCCGAAGTTCGCTGCATGTATGTGTGCATATATATGCATATAACTTGCCTGCTTACGTCGTCGGTCGTTCCGTCGGATTTCGACCTTCCGCCGTTCGTTCGATCTTATCGTTTCCGTCAACAACCCTTACTCCCACCTACAGCACGTAACCCGCCCTAACTCTAACAGTATGTGGGCCACAAAGACATATCATCATACCGCGGTATACATCCGGCAAAAAAAAAAGAAGATATTATTGTAGGCAAGACACATCGCAGCAGCGCAGGAGGAGCGATAGCGGTGATATTTTTTCCAAGGCTCCTCTCGGGAACGATTTCTCAATTCGTTAACGATTGGTACGGGAATCAGCGAACACGGTAATACACGGTAATATTTGGGTGGTAACTGGCCACCACGGTAAATGCACGGTAATAATTGGGTGGTAACCGCCCAGCACGGTAACTAACTCCCGTACGGGAACTAGTCTAGCAGCCACCACGGAATGAACGGTAATATTTGGGTGGTAACTCCGCGTCACGGTAATGCCGCGGTAACGGGCCACCACGGAAATCCACCACGGTAATGCACAGTAACGTAGGATGGAAACACTCCACAAAGCGATGCACTTTAAACTGTGGTGCCCTTTTTTGTCAGTGCGAATGACACCCAAACAGCGGGTTACACAAAGAACAGGAAACACACGTACGTATGGAACCTATCGCAATTCGTTTTTCATTTATTTTGAGACGAGAGGCAGGCGAAAAACTCGCGGTCAAGTTACCGAAAGACAAGACAAAGGATAAAACAAAATCAGTACGTCCAGAGCGACACCTCGAAATATCCATCACTTGATCACTAACCATATCTCAGCTTCGTGAGGACTGAACGCACCAAACTTTTCTGCCAGACGATGCATGCATTGTTTGGGTGCGGTAGCTCGTCAGAGGCCGAAAGAAAAAGAAGGTTGACTCAAGACGTTGTTGCTTAGCGAGTGAGAGACATGCGGCAGGCAACACCATCGCCATGTAGCATGTTCATCAATACATACATCATCCGCGTATCCCCCGGAGGCCCCGTAGACAGTCTACTCTGCCGAGCACCCCAAACAGCCCCCCTGCTCGGTAAGAGATACGATCTACGAAATCCCCGTCACGACTATGATTGCCAGATAAAATGGCAGACAGAAAAATCAAAACCCCTATCCCAACAATAAGTCATCCACCATTCCAATCCAAACGACTCTGCCAAAAGCACATGTATGTCCCACGAAATCGCCGGATCTTCCAACAGACCACGTCCTGCAAAGCTTTCAAACCTTTTTGATCGCAAATTTCTCCCTCTAAAAGGTCTGTCAAGAAAAACAAACTACCCCCTTGAGAAAAATGCTCCACCAAATTCTCAAGCAGTCAAAACACGAACAATCACCCTTGGAAAAATACCCAGCACAAAGATCAACGTTTCATCAGAATCACGTCAGAAGGGGGAGGACGGGCAACTCCGGGAAAACGTGTCTTACGTCCTGACTACTGAGAACAAATTCATTCTTTAGATAAATATTCATGCTTCAACTCAATGACCGGTTCAAATAACGAGAACATGCCAAACCCTTCCTCCGATATCCAATACGTTGACAAAGAAACCAGTCCAGCAGGCCCCCCTGCTGGAACATCCGTTCCATCCTGAACAAGAAGTCAAAATCAACATAATCAATCAATCCAACAGCCCCCCTGCTGCAGCATTCACCCCGAAAAATCAAAACCAAAACAAACAAACCCCTGCGACTAGGATCATGGAACAATACTTCTCCCCCCATGATTCTCACGCAGCACTATCCCATCCATCGCAAAAGCGGAAATCAACATCGAACAGCAGATCAAAGGCCAGTTCCAGGTCACAAATAAAACACATGATGCAAGAAAGCCCCCCTCGTTGAAATAGTGCAACACAACGAACATAATCAACAAATATTCATCACGAAGTCACGATGCACGCAAAAGGTCTCCTTGGGCAGCGGTTTGGTCAAGAAATCCGCGCGTTGCAAGTCCGACCGTACGTGGACTACCTTGAATTCCCCCCGCGCCACATGTGTAATGGAGCAACTAGTGTATGAGCATTGTACGAGCGTTTCATGAACGTTGTATGATGAGCTCTTATTGGATATTTTGAATTTTCTTTGGATATGGATAGTTGGCGTCGTCGAGGGGTATTGAAATAGCTTGAAGTAAGATCATAATCCCCGCCCCGCTCCCTCACTCTCCGGGTGGGCGCTGAGCGGACTTGGTCTAAGAAGGCTAAAACAAGAGATTGAACAACAACTGTGAGTACCCGAAGCCAGGAGCAACGGACTTGATCCCTCCCTCCTTGATTTCTCTGGTCCTCCATAACATTGTGGCGTCGTCTGCAGCAACGAACTTGCTCCCTTCCTCTTTTATTTCTCTGTTCCTCCATAGCACACGCTCACGGATGAAATGGTGGCGGATGTCGATGTGCTTCGAGTTGGGGGTAGTAGCCGGGTTACTTGCCAAGTGAGTAGCGCCTACGTTGTCCTCCCACACCGGAGTGCACCCCACATCACAGCCCGGAAAGATAATTTCCACAGATACCGCAGAAAAATAGCCTCCTTCATCCTATCAGACATCGCCACGTACTCCGCTTCCGTCGAAGACAGGGTGACGCTCTTCTGCGTCCTACACAGGTACATCACACGCGCACCAGCGAACATCACTAGTGCCCCAGAAACAGACCGCGGGTCGGATGCCTTGTTGGCGAAGTCCGAATCGACAAAAAAAATGTTCCATGTGGTCGCCGCCCACCGTGCCCCTTTGATAAGTAATCCCGTACTCGCTTGTGAATCTAACGTACATCAAAACATGCAAAGCCGCCTGCCAGTGCAGTCGCTTCGGCGCGTCCGAATACCTCGCAACGGCACGTACCGCGTTGAGAATATCCTGGCGAGTTTGATCCGCCAGCCACATCAAGTGTCCCACCAGCGACCATAAAGGCTCGTCGAAATCGGGCTCGTCGGCGTCGTACTGCTCAAGCTTCAACCCAACGGCTATAGGTGTTTCTTTGTCCGTCGTCACACCGAACTTGGCAACGGTCTTCTCCGCTACAGCCTGCTGCGAAATAGTCACCGTCCCCAACACCGTGTCACGAGAAAGCCGGCAACCCGCATACCAGCGCAGTTCCCAAGGTTGGAAATGGGCTCCNATACCTCGCAACGGCACGTACCGCGTTGAGAATATCCTGGCGAGTTTGATCCGCCAGCCACATCAAGTGTCCCACCAGCGACCATAAAGGCTCGTCGAAATCGGGCTCGTCGGCGTCGTACTGCTCAAGCTTCAACCCAACGGCTATAGGTGTTTCTTTGTCCGTCGTCACACCGAACTTGGCAACGGTCTTCTCCGCTACAGCCTGCTGCGAAATAGTCACCGTCCCCAACACCGTGTCACGAGAAAGCCGGCAACCCGCATACCAGCGCAGTTCCCAAGGTTGGAAATGGGCTCCTACCGGTTGAGGTCAACACCAAACTGATCGCACCTGCTCTTGAGCCCGATAGAAAAGATGTCGTCTACGTGGATCACAACCACCATGTTGACTACACCGCTCTCGATCAGACGCATCACACGCGCATCGGCGGCACAAGGCTCGAAACCAAGACCCTTCATGCCACGCATGAAGTGATGATGCCATGTGCGGGACGCCTGCTTCAGACCGTAAAGACTCCGTCTCAACCGTACGACCTTACCGGAAAGCGCACCGCATCAGGGGGAAGACGAATGAACACAACCTCATCCAGTTCTGATTGGACAAAGGCTTGCTCGGCATCGAAATGGCACAAGTCCCAATCTAACACACAGGCAATGGCGGCTAGCAATCGAATGCTCGTGATGGAAGGACACGGGGAGAAAGTCTCAAAGAAGTCAACACCCTCACGCTGCGCAAACCCACGGGCTACCAACCTAGCCTTAGCACGCACAGCATACCCAAACTCGTCTCCCTTCCATGAATACACCCACTTGGCGGAGATGACGTTCGTCCCTCGTTGCTATTCCGCCCCGACCTCCTCGAAGGTGGTCACTGCATTCAGCCCGAAAACTCCTTGCGTTCGGCGTTGGTCCAGATGTGGTGGTGTAGCCCCGCGTGCGCCTNAGATGACGTTCGTCCCTCGTTGCTATTCCGCCCCGACCTCCTCGAAGGTGCCCACTGCATTCAGCCCGAAAAACTCCTTGCGTTCGGCGTTGGTCCAGATGTGGTGGTGGGGCCCCGCGTGCGCCTCCCCGTATGTCTCAGGCGTCTCCAGGTCGCACACCAGCCCCGTCGGCAGGGCTGGCTCAGCGACGCCCGGTGCAGGAAGCTCGGCGATAGACCGCTTGATCTCGTCCTCCGTGGCTAGAAGAGCAAATATCCCCGGCCCCGACCCATCTCGCTTCGCCCACGACCTCGCCACTGCGGGGGTCGCTACGAACTCCCGCTGCCCCCGCCGACGCCCGCCTGTCCCGCCCTCATGCACCATCTCCGTCCACAGTCCGTCCGATGCCATCGCCGCCGAGTGCGCGGGGGCAGGTGTGGCAACAGGTGCCGCAGATGTGCTCACCCGCGAAGGCCCCCCCGCCATCCGCGCAAGTTCCGCCAACACCGCGCTGCGCGCTGCTCCGCTCTGCACCATGCTCTCCGGCTCCGTCATATGCTCATGCTTCCGCTGCTCCGTTGCCGCCGGAGTTTCCGCCGATGCTACCGCTCCGGCCGCCACTGCGGGGACCCCGGCCATCCCCCCCGCCGCCGCCGCGTGGGGAACACTGCCACCGGAGGTCGCCGCCGTCGCCGCTGGAGCTGCCGCCGATGCTGCCGCTCCGGCCGCCACCGCGGGGCCTCCGGCCATCCCCCCCGCCGCCGCCGCGGGGGGAACACTGCCACCGGAGGTCGCCGCCGTCGCCGCTGGAGCTGCCGCCGATGCCGCCGCTTTGTGTGTTTGGGTGCGGTGGCTCGTCAGAGGCCGAAAGAGAAAGAAGGTTGACTCAAGGTCTTGTTGCTTAGAGAGTGAGGGACATGCGGCAGGCAACACCATCGCCATGTAGCTTGTCCATCAATGCATACCATCCGCGTATCCCCCGAAGGCCCCGTAGACAGTCTACTTTGCCGAGCACCCCAAACATGCATAACCCACCAGCTACCACGTACACACATATCGAGCTCAACCGTAAGCATGGTGTACCATATCTGCGTCACACCGCAGGCAAGCAGTTCAAACACAACAAACATGCACCACACTACGGCAAAACTCAAAACCAATATTCAAAGACTCAAAGACACGAAAAAATAAGGTTCTCCTTTCGTTTGATGGATCGATAGGAGGGAGGGGGGGGGTACTCATAGTCGTGCATGCCGTAGTCGTTAGACCATTGACCTCGCATCCCTACAAAGCCGGGACGGAGCACGCCGGGTTCTCACCGGACCAGGCTCTCACATCACCAAGCGCGAAGCGCCGTGAGATATTCGGCGAGTCGCATGAAGGGTGCGCTGCATCCTGCTAAGGGCGTTCGGCATCTTGTGCTTACTTCCTTGTGTACGGATGACTTAATTTATTTTCTGGTGCTTCCACTTCCGGAGACAGTTATAAGCACTGCTGTGTAACTGCCTCGAGGGTGTTTGACCACAACGTGGTGCGATCATCCCCCTTGCGCGGAGTGAGGGTTCTCCACCCCGCACAACATGATCCACTCGACCACCATTATGGTTACCGCCAAAAAAAAAAACAGAGGAAAAAAAAAAATGCCGAGCTCACGAAGTGAATTCATGGATCCAGAGGAGAGAGATAAAAAAATGAAGAGCAAGAACAGAAAAGGAAACNACTTATAAATCAATAGATCGTGGTCTTATTGAAAGTCTAGGTCCTTTTGGTTTTTCAAATGTATTATTAGATCAAGTAAATAAATCTCGTTTATGGTCTTATGTTGGTAATAAGATGTGGTTCGTTGAATTTGATTCGTCTTGCGCTTTAAATGATCCAAGTTATTTACTTTATTCAACTTATGCTATAGTGTTAATTATAATGTGGAGCATGGATCCCGCCATGTTCAGTACCTCCATTTTGCAAACAGCCCCCTCAGCTGTCTGTGCGTACGGTAATGTTCGTTTTGCTACTCGTACGGTACCGGGAATCCAGTATCTCGCCGTTAATTGCTTGGTTGGGTGATAACCAAAAGCCACGGGATGTCGACATTTTGCGCGGTAATTGGTTGGGTAGGAACAACGGAATTTCACGTCCTTGGTAACGATGTGGATGGGAATGGGAGAAGGCCATTTGCTCGGTAATGATTTTGGTCGGTACGGTAACCGGGACTTATCACGGTAACGTTACCAATTACCGTTCCCGTGGAAATCCCGCGGGAAAGTACCGCGGGAAAATTCCCGAGAGGAGCCTTGATTTTCTTCACGTACGGAAGGAGCGGCGTGAGGAAATTGAATACGAAGTCAGAATGGAGATGGGGCACGAGAGATGACAGGAAGAAATGAAGAATTTCTAGACTCGTATGTAGGCTTGCCAGAACAACCACAGTGTGGTCCACCACCACCGCGGCGACTAAACCGGTACCACCAACAACAGCCCGAACATGACGCGGCCGAAATCGCCGGTTGATCGAAACAAGAAAAAACGTTGTCGGAAGACCAGACCACTGGAAGGGCTTGGCTCGGTTAGAGCCAGCCACTAAGCCGCAAAGAAAGGCTGGAAACAAGCATTAAGTGCCTTTAAGTTTTGGTCGAGTTCTCGCTCGGGCAGCCAAAAGCGACAAAAAAAGATAACGGTTCGATCGATCGAGAAAAGCTAATTCCGTGGGAAGGAACAACGCAATGGCCCATACGGCTCACCCGCACCCTTTTTCGTCGCCATTCCACGTATATATCAAGTACACTCTTCGCCGCCGCAAATGTTCGAGGTCTCTTGAAGATAGATCTGAATGCGTGCCTACTACAGGTGCTGCCGCCTATAGTATTCATGCAATGAGAATCTTTCCTCACATCATACTGAAAAAACACCCGACAAAAAATGTCTTGCTTCGAACATACGGACTAAATCGATCGCTCTAAAAAAAATTCCTCTCATCAAGCTCAGGTATGGCATTCGTACCGTGGTAAATACCGCGTGTAGGAGCATTTCATCCCACCCAAGTTGCATCCATCCACTCTTGCCCCAAGTGCCGCGATAGGCGCGCACTCAGCTTGCACGTAGATGCCTATGTCGAGCGCTCAACCAACCAAACGCCCCTCTTGTACACCGCCTCTCTACCACAGCGTTTGCACGTCTCCCAAGCTGTGCCGACTCACTCGTCCTTGGCGTGCACACACTGAAACGGCGGCACACCTAATGTCCTGCCAAGAAAGCCCGGTGCGTGCTATAAAAAGAAACCGCCGCATATTATATTTTTTCTTTTAACGCCCTACAGCAACCGTGCGTTTTCAGAGCAAAAGCACGACACGTCCGACGTTCTACACCCCATGGGAGATATCAAGGAACACATAAAAAAAAAAAGGTCTAGGAGGCAGCTATGACCTCTGGCGAGCCCCCAACAGTAGAAACGGTGGTCCCATGGTTTAGGAACAGAAGCGACACGTCTCACACTCCAACAGATGTAAAGAGAAGCACGTGCTTGAAACCGTTGCTGCCTCTCATGCCTCTTGCTCAAACTCGTCAGACACTTACCCATCCAACACGCCAGTCTGTTCTCGAATACATAGTGCAGGCAAAGCCATACCGATCCCGATGACATTCCTGTTGCTGGCACCGACGCCAGAAAAACCAAGGTTCCATGGCAGAACGCACAAAACCCCCTCCCGAAATCGAGCGCTTCGCGAACCCTGAGAATCCCCATGGAAGCCTTCTCTCGCCTGCTGTCAACTTGCAATCGAATTTTCTGTCGCCTGCCCTTTGTTCATCGCCTGATGCCTGTACTCGTTTCTGCCGGGCACCCCGACCCTCGCCGATGTATACACACACAGCAGTGGGGGCATTTCTTAAGCTCCGCGACCGCAGGCAGCCCTTAACGAACCGACCGTCATACAGTAATCCATTTCCCCGCTCTTCGCACACTGCCACCGCAACAGCCATCACACACACTCAAACCACCCTGCCGCCACAGGGCTTACCCTGCTCCTCCTATCGCAAAAGCCACCCAAAACAGCCTACACACACCCCAACACTGCTGTCTGCGACCCCCCCCCCCCCCCC